CGACTCCAGCGTAAACCAGCGTAAACTTAATGCTGCTGTGTTTCGTATGATGAGTATAGAAAACCGGAAAGCCTTTTTACTGGAAACGAGGCATTTCATATTAATCCTCAGGGGTGACAACCCATCGGCATTGATTCTTAATTGAGGATAAATGTAGATGTCTATGGGTCACAGCATCCAATAATCAACAGATGGACTGTGTACTCGTTTGTCACCATTATTCTATAAAAAAAAACATTGCGACAAATTTCTTAATACCATCTGGACCATGTGTATACATACCCACCCACCACTGTACGTTTTTCCAGGTTTCTTGCTCACACGATACTTCGTGGAGTCTGCTAACACTAGCAAGTTTTCTGGTCAAATACGACTAACCTAATTATAAAGAACCTTCAAAAAAGAGCTTACTCCTGTTTAAAAGATCGACAACACACCTGCAGTTCCTCTGATGTTGTAGTTATTCGTCGGCGATGGTAGTCACTTACCAACATATGAGCCGCATGCTCTTTTACGCCCAAGGACTATAAATACAAAGTAGATACTAGCCTTTTTGCAAAAACTAAAGATTTTAATTTTCTTGTTATGAATAAACCTTAATTTTTCTAATTTCAGTCTACCATTGCCAGCTATAGAAACTACGACACAAAGTTGGTTGGAAAGAAAAGGTAATAATGAACAACGTCGTTTAATTATTTATAAGGGTTAGCAGCAAAACAACAGAAGTTAGAAAAAAACGAGACAATGTTTTACAAGGTCGAATAGAACTTGAAACAGCCTTGAGTAATAAACATAAAAGTTATATAAAGTCTTTATATTAACAATCAACATTTTACTAACAATACATAAATAATTAAATTATAAAAAAATACTTTCGTAAGATGAACTAACTTAAGGTATTACTACTTTCAGGACTATAAAAGATAGCAATTTAATTGATATTTTTTTCTTTAATTTGCATTTATTAATGCAAGAATCGGCATAAAACGTCAATTTGATAATTATCGCTTAAATTTATTTACTATCTATAATAATATTATTAATCAATTCATATTACTATTACAAACATTAACATTTTATCAAACATTTATAAATATTGTTTAAATCGCAATGACTAAATCACTCGTTACGATGTGAATACTAACAGAATTCTATACAAAATTCTGTTTGTATATTGTATAAAATAACAGAATGTAACAATGTACAATATAGTATGTTTTCATTGTCTGCAGTACGTTTATTATGAGGTAGCAGCCCATAACAAGAGTGCCTAGCACTTAGTTCAAGGTTGCTCGTTATAAATTCGTATTGCTCAGAAACTATAACGATACTTCGTGACAATCTTATTATATAAGAATTAATAACTTCTATTCCTTTACCAGCTAGTGATAATTGTCACTTACGAGTAGCAATATCCCGTGACGAGTAAAAGAACGTTAAATACCTAGATGAGGATAATAATCTAAGATTAAAACCGCTCTTTTAGCACGTTTTTATTAACTTGCTTTTGTTTATGTGTGTTTCAGTGGAATTTAGTAATGGATTTTAAACTAACTTCCCAATAAGCTAGACTATATTTTGAACATAGCTTAGGATTGGTTATTTTTTATTTCACATGTTTAATTTTAGATTATATTATCCTTATCTACGTAGTGTATTGACTTACATGTTACTGGTATTGTGTGATAGAGAATTAAATAATACCTATTAATAATTATGTGAATAATGAACATGGATGACCAGATGGTAATTGGATGCTATGGACCATAGACACCTACATCTAACATCAACAAAAAATTAAAATGTATAATATGCATTTCACACAAAAGGATTTAAACATTCACCAAACGAAATATAATAGTATTAAATAATTATAATTATTATATCCAGAATAACAAACCGCACATAAGGGATATCTAACAATAACATCTATGGAACGAGGTTCTAGCGACCGACTAATATTAAAATAAATAAATAATCTATATACAAGAACGCTGAATTTAAATTTTACAGAGAGTTAAAATTTAAATTGACTGTGTGCAGTATTACCAGTGAGAGAATTGGCTATTATTATATATTTACTGTGCTATTAATTTTGCGCCCACCAAGCCGCCTTTCCATCGTGTTTACTACGGGCTAGTCTTTGAACTCATTATTGAAGGTATATTTTAGGAAGAACTGTGTTCAGAATAGAACAAGGGAGGTTAAATAATGCTTTTTAGACTATAAACAAGTATATTTGCTGTTATTTCCTATAGATGCAAGATACAATGTAATTCGGACGTGTAACCGTTAACATTTGAAGTCGTAATAACGATTAACGTACAAGTATGCAGGGCTCGGATAACGGTATATTTTTCGAAACGTATTCGCGTTATATACCTAAAAACTTATTTGTTTCGTTTATGTTCGAACGGAATAATAATAAAAACGTTTATGAAGAGAACGAAATTTTAAATCGTTCTTGTTCAATAAAACGTTTTTAACCATTTTAAACCGTTTTTCCTATTTTTGGCCCTGCAATACGATACAAAATACCTTATAGGTTTAAACTTGTCGTGGCACGTGTTATTAATTTAGATTCCTGCGGAATAAACCGTTTTTTACATTTTCACATTACGGTCTCATTTCGTTTTTGTTCCGAACAAAATGTTATACAAGGAACTGTTCCAAACGTTTTAAAAACGTTATTTTTAATAACGTTTCCAAGTCCTGCAAGTATGTATTTGAATTAATTAGGAAGTGTAGTCTATATACAATATAAACTAATTGTTTGTGGTTTTGTACAAGATATAGATTATATTTCATATGTTATATCCTGCGGACCAAATTTCGGTTACGACGACTAATCTTAACAGAGACTAACCATCTGCGCAGGGCAGGGTTATAGTGCACGAGTGTGTGCACAGGTGCACTCTCTTTTTCCTTACTCTCATAATCTGCTGAGACGGCAATCATACACAACCGGCGAGAAATCAGGCGCAGGGCCAACGGCTTTACGTGCTTTCCGAGGCACGGAGGTGAAACACAGCCAACAACACTGACAATTTCTTGACAGAAAACCTCAATAACTGATTTTGGTTCAACCCGGGATTCAAATCCAGAACCACATGATCGGCAATCGCGCTTACGCCCATTAGACCCACGAGCCTTCCACACTAACTGGTTGTTAACAATCCACTAACACAAATATGTTTTACTACAATTTTGTTTTACCTTGCATTAATAAAATTATTTATAGCATACACACAACACACAACTTCGCCATAGGACTGGATATATTAAAGTAATTCGTAGTTTTTGTTAATAATAATAATAATTTGAATTTTTTTAAACGTTACCCCCACACTAGGATTTCCTCATGTGTCGTGGAGGCAGTTTACAAACATATATTGCACGAGGACAAACATCCAGACCCGGAACAATTATTTGTAGGCCATACAAATATTTGTTCCTTGCGGGATTCGAACCCGCGGCGCAACCGCTCATTGCTAAGCCACTGCGCCACGGAGCCGTCACGTTTGTGATAGTTATTTCTTTTTCTTTGGGAGAAACTAAGTTGTTCTAGAATTTCTCTCTTTCTGTTCATTGCTTTGTGTTGAAAGACTCATATTATTCACAAATAGTCATCTTTTTACTTTCAATAGTGTTAATTAAAACTGGGAAGATAATAATATGTTTGACTAATATTAGACACGTTTGTTTAGATTTGTTTGGAAAGTGTATACGCAACGGCAGTACCATTCTGGTAATATCTAACGGAGAAATTAAGAATTCAATTCAGTTAAGACAATTTTACCAACATAATATATACTAATACAATATTATGTAAATAAATACCGTAAAAATTTCCTATTTAAGTTTTATTTATTTTGTTACTACTAGTATTTCTCAATTCTTAGATACTTTCACGTTTCAATTTGTACACAAATAAAGTGCAAAGTGTATTTTCATTTGATAACATATTTAAAACATCATTAATTTGCTAACGCAAGCAAAGCGTGACCACAAATTTGTTGTTAAAAATGCTCTACGTATATGTAAACAACGGGGCGTGGCTTTTGTCGCGACGGCTGTTTAAAATTGCGTTCGGTAGCGGGTTGCTGGTTTATATTATTATGCGAGTCATAGAGTATAAAGCTGCACCATCCCAGCCGCTGCGCTTAATAGCTGAGGTCATTTATGTTTAGAGACATTATAAATGCAATTCACTATTAGCATCTAAACTACAAACAGATAACAATAATCTGCGTTTAATACAGCTAATAAATATTATAGATATTACGATTAAATACAATGTAATGGATACCCTAAAACTCTTACCGTTTAAATATATGTTCGCTGTGTAGTATATGTAGTATATCATGCTGTGGGTGTCTTAAAAGGCGACGGAAGAAAATGAAAGAGGTGATGGAGAGCAGCATCTTACTGGTAACACTTCATACAAGAAACTAGGGTTGCTATCTTACCTGCCAAGCGTGGCCACTATGACAAGTTTCTCCGCTATGAAGCAATCTATGATAGAGACTAATGTTCATCAGTGGACTTTTGATAGACTGTAAAGAAAAATAATGATGAAAAGTTGCTAAAATTTAACATTTGTAGGACGCCTTGCTAAATTTTTGCAGCTTCTGATAATTTAACCATATAAATACCTTCGATGTAAACAACAGACGAAATAATATAAAATTGTTTTACAACCTCATCTGTTCTAGACAATAGAGCACGACCTACTGGGTCGGCTGATAGATTCGGTTGCGGGCACGAAAACACTTTTCGTTGACTAACATTACCTAACCTTTTAGAATATTTGTTTTCTTGGGAAAATATATATGGCGAATCAAATCCTGACGAGGCATTTTTAACTTTACGTAAAACCTCGATAGGTTTTACGTGACGACTCACGTATTATAATTGATTGTTCTACAAATTGTCACCACTAACTTACAGTTATTTAAAAAGCCCATAGTAAATAATATGTAATTTAGAAAATAACTCACCGTATTCTTCGTGAGAGAGCTGGGGGCTGGTCTCCCTCAGCGCATAGTCAGCGTCGTCGTCGGCGGGCGCCGCCGTGCGCGCCCCGCACCAGGGCACGCAGCAACGGAACACCCCGCCTCCGACCACCTTGGAGCCGTGCGCCCGCTACGATGCAAAGCGCTCGCGCCTTTATCCGACACACAAATAAAACCAACGCACGAGCTTCGATTCACAGATAGTGTCACGAACACCATTAGCAAGATTCACCTCACATATAAATCACATTCGATATATAGAGAGCAAATAACAAATCTAAATATATATTTGGCACCTTACAGTAAGTAGAATAATTCAAGCGTAACAAGTATTAACAAGAAAATCCAGTTCAGTCTTGAGAGTTAGAGAAGGTAAAGTCCTGATATGTCAGTCTAATTTAAGAACGCAGATATATAGTATTTATATTTATTTTTTTATTTTCCAAGATTCAATGGTTATGAGGGAAATGGAAGGACAAACATTATTATTAATTACATGGTATCGCAACAAAAATTTCGCAGTATCATCGTTCGGTTAAATTTATACTAGCGATTCACTAAAATGCGCTTAACGAGAAAAAAAAAGATTGATTGATCCTTTTCATTTTATATATGAGAGAGTTGAATAAATATTTAAGATAGTTAAAATAGCGTTATAATTTAATATTGAAAAGAAAGTTTTACATACTTTTACATTTTATCGTGGTAATTTAAACGAGGTAGTGACATGCTGCAGCTATATTAATTGTATAGTTGTAGCATGAATGGGACGTCACGACCGGAAAAGCACCACGCACTGACTGATGCTATTTTATGCTGGTATTTTACCAACTTAAAATAGCAGCTTAATGCTTCTTTGTTTCGTATGGTGATTGTAGAAAACCGGAGACCCTTTTTAGTGGAAACGAGGCATTCCATCTTAGTCCTCACGGGTGACGACGCATCTGCATTTTGATTTGTAATCGAGGATAGATGTAGATGTCTATGGGTCACAGCAACCACTTACCATCAGGTGGACTGTGTGCTCGCTTGTCACTCAAACTCACTTAAATATAGCCACTGTACGAAACTAGTAATCTAATGAATTGAAACGAGCACAATATTTCATGCATTGTAAACACATAGTACATGTGAACGTACGGCTATCATGATCGAAACGCATCGTGAGTGCTACTAATAAAATGATCCGTGAAAAATGGTTGGCAGAAGCCCAATTAGAACTACTATAAACTATAATTTCTGATTTAATAAGTTGAAGATAGCACACGCCAACCATTGACATCGCATTTGAATAAGGTGCGTGATGAATCAATGTAAAAAAATAAATTGATTGTGTTCTCGAGAAAGTAGAGGTTTTTAATTTATAATCTTGAACAGGTTACGAATGTAAAAGTAAAATTATGTGGAAAAGGAGACGGGCACTTATAAATCCTCAGCATGGAAGTATAAGTTCTTAGGTTTTACGACTGTGTAAATGTAGTCATACCGTTTAAAATTAGGCGGTTCATTTTTTGTATGGTAAGAACGTTTTTATTAAGTGAAATGAATTGTTTTAGAAACTATCTCTTCCTTAAAGGGTACAATATTCATATATTAAAAAATAAGTTTTGCGGCATAATACACATCATAACAATATCGACATCGAAGTACGGTTACAACATTGGCTATTAGAAAATAAATGAAAATATTCTCAGCACATACTCGAATGTAACACTATTTTTATTAATGTAAATTTACCGAACACGCCCAAACAGGGATTGGCTATTGTTTGACCGTAAGTTGATACAATGAACTAAGTAATAAAAACATGAACTATTTATACTCAGTAATAGGTTGTACATGAAATGACAGCAAGCACTAATATCTAGTCATCAGGACTCAAACACATCCAATTACTTCTTGTTGAACGGTCACTAGGTTCAATTGCGAAATCATCATTGTGACTATCGTCGCTAACTGGGTAATGGGGTCCTCTTGTATGAATTTATGCTTCTGCAAATCATGATTAACGAAATATTTCGAATGTAAATGATATAAAAATATAATTATTTGTGTTGACTATACTGGTACCTTTTGTTCTATAAACCAAGATTTATCCGCATTATATAGAAAATATTACGTGAATATTTAAAATAAGCTAAAATATGTTCGTTATAAAAGTCGTCATAAAAGTCTGCAGTGGTTAGATATCACTCGCTAATGGCTGCATCTATTTTTAATCTATGTACATACTACCTATAGCTGGAGATAAAATTAAACGTTGTTATTATATTATCTTATCTCAGATGTAGTAACGTAATCTATGTGTCGTTTGTTACGAATATATGTTATTTTTATCCTTTTACGTGTAAGCTTGTTACCCAAGTTTGTATTTTTTGTGTAATATATTGTATGTTTTGTGTATTTTTGTGACATTCTATGAAGCGAACGTACTACGTGCCAATCAATCGGAATATTACTATTTGAATTCTCATTGATCTTATCAAATTTGTGAGATTTCGTGTTAAGATTGTAGTGGTTATGTTTGCAAACATTCAACAAGTAACCTTTACCCGAAAATCAATATAGCCTTAATAAAATACTTCCAACTACTATTCTTTTACCAAACCTTATTTTCGACAACCCTTTCAATTTATTATAATGATCGCTATTGTGTGATTCGTTTTTTGTCTTTGAATATTATTTTCTATATTTATGACAGATACAAATTTCATATTGTTATATTAATAAAAACACTTTTCTAATATACTCACCAATATTATCAACAAGTTGTTAGCATAATTGCATTTAATATGAAATAAATTATCTAAAGTGACAATATAAACTCAGCGCATTAGTGATTCGGTGGCATAAATTTCTCTTCATTGTTAAAATATCTCATTTCATATAGTACACATTACAAAACACAGTTACATCTGAACGTATAAATCTTTATTTTTGCAGGACTGTACAAATATGTAGTGATGTTCCAGTAATACAGTGTACTAGATAAAAGCGTACTAAGATAAAAACGCGACAGGAGAATGGCCTGTGACCTGTAAGGGATCCCTACGAGCGTTGGGGCCTACACGGATAGTATGATATCGCGGATATTCAGCAGTTCATCGTCACACATCTACAAAGCCCATATGATACGCGGCGAGGCTTAGAAGCGGTGAATCGTGCGGCTGGCACGCGACGGAGCGGCCCTGAGCGTCGCGACGGCCGGTGGACCGCGACTGGAGCGACGCTGCGCGTCGCAGCCTAGGGCGTCGAGCGAGCAGGACGCACATACAGCTTCGCGTCGCGCACGACCTACGATTTTAGCCCTTGAACCTTCCTTCTTAATATCTATTTACCTTGTTCGAAGCCGGTCTCTTATGTTTTTGTGCGGCTGCCAAAGGGTTTTTACCCCGCGAAGCGTTCATCTCGTGAGCGGTGTTACGTAGATCGAGAAACTGTGCGGCATTTCTTACAGGCCGGTTTAGTATTATATCACTATTGAGCGTGCTTTTAACTTCTTGCAGTGAATGTGCTTTAAATAAATAATTATCTTCACATCATTTTAGGAGTCATCTCGGTGCCTGAATGTCTAGCAGTGACAAAGGTTTAGGCTCTATTTCACATGATTGAAATTAAATTCGCTTTTAAAATTCGGTTACCCAAATATAGTAGCCTTAAAATTCAAATTTCGACTTAAGGACATCAAAATTCAAACTTAAGTTTTGGGGAGGCTAAAAAGGGAGAAATTTTTTTTTACTTCACTTTTCTTGTGGGATATCAATTCAAATGTCTTTTGAATCACCATTTTACAAATGTTTTATTTGCTCTTGTAATTCATTTTATTTAAAAAAATTCGGAACACATTCTTTAAAACTGTTATCCAACGTTTTTAAAAACCAAAAAATTTAAAAACATCATAAATGTGTATTTTTACGCGTTTTTTTTTTTAAATATTTGCCAATTGCTGTGCAACAATCGAATGCATAGCATAAGTGGGGAGGAAAGTAGGAGTAGGGCGTTGTGGGGGACTGGTTGCACCGAACACTAATTACGCATAGCATGTACTTGACCGATTTTAGAATTAAATGCTTTATTATATTGCACTGGAGATTAAGCATAACGGCGCATACTGACGTGTAAATATAAATTTTGGTTATTGAAATAATATGTCATTGTAAATTATATTTCGATTAATAATTTATACTTTATATTAAATTGTGGTTTTAAAATGTCCATCGTTAAAATTAAATCACCACACTTACTGCCTAACCTACTAACAACTAACTGCTCGGAAGTTTGCTTTGTAGTAGAAATAAATCCATTTCCTCTTACTATTCGCTTTTGACGTAACACAGTAAATACGCAGCATGAATAAAACGGTAGTCTTAATGATGAATTCGCGTAATTTCCTACACACTAATTTTCTGATCGATTTTAATTGAAATTTTAAGCAGGCTTTATCACAAATACGCGAGTATGTGGTTAAGGCCTTATTCAATAATTAATTTATTATATTATATTAGAAAATATAAATAAATATATTTAGCGAACCTGTATTGTTTCAAAAGATTAATTTATTCAAATTAATATAAATAAATTTTCAAAATAATGTCTACAGTATCAATATCTATTCTCAGACATTAGACATTATTATGCCTCTTAATTAATTGGTATGATATCTCGTAATATGAAACAGTGTACACTGCTTCTTGTCACCGATCTAAGAAATTTTAGACCAGTTATTAATATTTTTTTGGCCATCACCCGGTGACCGAAATATTTTTTAAATCTTTTAGGTAATCGAATTTTAAGAGCACCCGGGAAGGAAAGAGATGATGTGTTTTCTTATACCATATTGAAAGATACATTTTCACTTATGATGTCTATAAAACCGCAAGTATACATGCACACTTAGGAAGTTTCTCATTCAAGTAAACATACTGTCGACCACATGGAGGGTCTGAATTGGAAGGACCGCTGAAGGTGGCCGCTTCGAGTGTTTATAAACAAGCACACCCTGGATGTCAGTTAGTAGACTACGAGAGACGGGGTGTCATTCAAATTTGCCCTCTGCAGCCGTTGTGTAACCCCGATAGAGGAGGGATGTTGCTATGGCGACGCGCTACTTGCCCTATCCTTCGCGAGCGT